GCGAACTGCGTTAAACTCGCGATCTGTCATCCTACAAATATCATACTGCCATAGTGTCATTCGAGCAGACCACTCGATGCCTAGAATTAATTCACCCTTCGAGCCAATTAATCACTCGAACGCAATGAACGCGTCGTGCGACAAATCTGAATTATCGATATTGATTTGATTGAATGTGTCAATCAACGGAGGCTAAATAAACGAGAAATAAATTTGTATTCCCTGCAATTTACTACTAAAAATGACATAATTGATTGAAATCAAATAAACAGAAAATTTTTCACATCTTTTCAAATTACCAACTATTTTCCAACTTTCTTCTTTAGGAGTGAGTCTATTCACTTCGGTGGGGGAATTACACGAGTAAAATGAGATACAGTTATATCCTTTAATGTACAGGGTGTCTTTTTTACCTGGACTCGGAAGGAATTGCAGCTATCGAAACAATGTTTTTACAAATATTGTTTGGTATGAAGGCAGATGCAGTCTGTTCCACAAGAGCGTGGACGCGATATCTCTGTGAAAATTAGTTCTTTCTGTAAAAAATTTTATATACATCGAAACTACGTCTAATAAACTAATACGCGCTCAATTAACAGCGTGTCCAATCTCCACCATTAGCGATTATTGCCTGACAACGTCTAGGTATACTTTCGACCAATTTCGTGGTATATGAGAGTGATAGAGACCTCCATGTTTCTCGAATGGATGTTTAACGCGTCTTTGGACAATTGGATTTTCATAAACAAACCAGGCACATCTGATACTTCAAGCCGAAAAAGATGCTTCATCGCTGAATACGCCACTCCAATCGCGATCAACTTTTTCGTGTGTCCACGCCAGCCGACTTTCGTCGTGCTTCCTTGAAAGCAACGGTTTCGATAATGTACTGCTCCATCAAACATTACTTTCTGTCAAACAATTGGATTTTCATAAACAGACCAGGCACATCTGATACTTCAAGCCGAAAAAGATGCTTCACCTCTGAATACGATGTCAAAATCCCTATATTTATGTCCTTTTTACCAAAAAAGCTTGCCCTTTACGCAAGCAAAATGTTGGATTCCTTGAAAATAGCCGGAAGATCACTTTATCTTCCCTTTTCGTGGTACCAATCTCGATCAGGGTGGTCATCGACATATTCAGTTTCTTTATATCGTTGTATCTACTTATTAACGAATTCACGAGATTAATGCATATATTTTTCTGCATTTTTAACACTCATTTTTCGCCCTTTTGGGTGATAACACAAGAAGACTGCCTCGAAACGTGTGGCGTACACGGCACTCATCTCGAAAAGGTCCGTATTTCTCAGTAACAAAAACGATACCAAGAGATTTAAAGCTAATGCGTAACAGAGGGAACTTCATATTTTTATGCTAACACAATCTCTCCCTCAATTGACCTCAAGTTTCGAAAATATCGCGTCCACGCTTTTGTGGAACAGACTGTATAACGTGGTATAAATAGTTTTCTTACGGGTGAAGTAATAAGGGAGATTTCGAAGTCAAGTTTCCGATTCTATTTTTTATTATTTAGCAAACAAGCTCCGATTTGCTGTTTCCCTATTAACGAAAAGATCTTCAGGTGCGACTGGCTAACGTTGCTTCCCCCGACTATACGCGCGACAAATAAGCAGAAGCGCGTCCTGGAACGTGTTGAGTCACTGCCGCGAAAGAAAAAAAGAGGCGAAAGAAAAGTTTCAACGCGAAAGTACCGTGAAACCGTGACTTTTTGCGCCCGATGTGTTTTATTATGCAACCTGTCCTTTCGATCTCTAACCGGGAACCTTTATTTCACCTCCGCCTCCGACATCTGCCTGGCGAATCGTCCGCGGCCGCTCTATTCAGCGATGAGTTAATTGAAAGATCGCGTATCTGAGCGCCGCGAGATCCATCGACCGATTAATTTCGCCTCTTTTGTATATCGAGCCTGCTGAAATTCCCTCCCGTGGGTTTATTATGCGATAAAATTCTAGTTTCAGCTTTCGTTAAAATACGTAATAAATTGACAAATGTGCGAACTGTAGTTGATTAAGCGTTGCAATAAAATTTCTATCCTGTACGATGGAGATTAGTGCCGGCGCCATGACGGCGGCTTATGCGACACATCTTCCAATTAAAAATCCCGCTGAACATGCAAAACATCCGCTAATAGCTCGCAAAGAGCGTTAATCGTGCTCACAAAGAAAAACAACAGGGACAAAGTAAATCAATGAGCAGTAATTATAATTATCAGAATCGATGGCGAAATTTTTTATTGGACGGTATTAGAAAAAGGAAAAAGAAATCAAAGGGATAGTCTACTTATACAGACTATATTATCACATTTTCAGGCACTTTTTGTAGAAAAAATTCTAGATATTATTTTTTTGATTTTAGAGTTTCTGCCCTCTAAAGTATTAAGTCGTGAGATATGAAATGTCGAATTTTTCAGGGTGGAATCAAAATCGTTCTTTAAATTCAAACAATCGTCCTTAGATTCCTCAACAGCAACTTACCAAGAATTTTATCAACTTTCAATTAACAGGAAAAAATTCAAAACTTTCCAACACTCGAATAATCCTTTGAAATAATCAATTTAGGTACGATTAGAAATCGAACATTTCGTATAGAATACCTTCTTAAAATACAAGAATTAGGGGTAAAAATGAATTCGGTGCCTTTTTTCACAAACTTCAATGCTTATTTGCAAAACAGTCAAACGAAAATCGAGATACTTCAGATGATCCTTTTGCAAATTTTCTTTCTGAAAAAATATGACGGTTTTGAATCAATGAAATCGTCAAGACCTTGTGAAAAAAGTCGAAGAATTAATCGAGTCTATTAGTAGATCCTATAGAAACAGCGTTCACGAATTTTTTTCCGGTAAAATCGCGTCACGAAGGTTTCCAGAGAAAGCACCGTCATTTACATAAGGATCTCGCGATATTGGCGCCGCTGGACAATTGAATTTTGAAATCGTGTCTCACCACACCCACACGTCCTACCAGACAGCCCCTACCTTGAACCCAAGTGTATAGTACAGCCACGATTTATGATACCAGGGCGTTTCTAATTGACCTTCGTATCGTTGGCGGAATAAGAGACATTCCTCTTGGGGGAAATCGGTTTCCAAGGTGGCCACGATCTCGATCCAATAAAGATCGTCTAACGGGAACAATGGCCATCGAATCTGGACGAGATAGATAGAGAGAGAAAGAGTAATGGGCGATTGTGAAACCAGGACGGCGAAAAAGTGCGCCAGATGAAGAGATAAATATTAACGTATGGCTTCATGCTTTATGCTTGTTGCCGTAAGAGTGGTTTATGGGAGACAGAACTTCTTTTCCCTTTGATAGGAATTGATGAATTAATCTCTTTTGCGTTGTAATACTTCGCTAACTTAAATACGTGGTTTCGTGAAAAAGTATCTAAACTGTGCGTGTATTTAACTCACAAGGGAAGTTCGGTAACTCGAAAATTCAAGAGAAAATTCAATCTGAAACTTTACAGAAATGTAGCTCAAGTGACGCTAATTACGAAATTCTTGTTACAGCAATGAAGCGATCTTAGGGGTGAAAGAGCTTTCATGTTGTCGTGAATATTTAGGAAACCGTACAAGATATGGAATAAAAGGAAAATTTACAGTTGTATAGTTTTTGATGTTCTACATTATGGTGGTAAAGAATTTTCGAAAAACGTTATTTTTTTCAAAAAAATTAAGTGTTAGGGGTAAATTAAAAAAAGTAAAAGTGTTCGATAAGTCGTGGTACAACCAACGGAGAGGTGATTTCTTATTTCAAAAAAATAAGTAAAAAATGTAAAATAAAGATTTTTGATTGCTTTATGATCGGTGGATAAATAAGAAATTGTTAAAAAAATAGTTGGGTCAGGAAAGAGTTGAAGTAGGATTTTGATCAGTACATCCTGTGGTGCATTTTGAATTTTAGATTATGCAATACGTATCCACCCTCTTACTAAATCCTAAAGAATTCTTTCTGAGACCTTGTACTGTCCGCTCGGCTGAGATAATTGTACAAGGATTTCGCCTGAGGGGTAACCAAGTTGGGTCACCCAGTCCACACAATCTAGAGCACCCACGCCACTTCGCAATCCTGAATTACGATTATCAGTTAATCAACACATTTGACAATCGTGTCATCGTTAGACAGAAAAGAACCCCCGTGGCGAACGTGATCGAAAAGAAAGGACAGTCCTTTCATATTTCAGATTAGCAATCTCTTAATTTTTTTCAAATGAAGAAAATGACTTTACAGTTATTTTTATTTGAAAAAATGTTCAAACAAAGTAAAATGTAAAATTGGCAAAAGGTTCTAAGAATTTCTTCCCACCGTAGACCGTTACTTTCCAAGCACCGATAATGGCCTCATAATTTAAGATCGAAGTGACCGCACAGTCACTTTTCTTTGGCTCGGTAAATCGAGCTGACAGAAAAACGCAACAAAATTCTTCGCTACCATTAAGGGGAACATATTTATAATCGACGATTTCACGAAGGACCGTTCTCAGGACTTTTACTCGGGCTTCGTTTCGTCGACCGGTAGCGCGGCAACAAAACGCTCCAGTTTCGATAAAAGGGCGTTGAGCAACCGATAATGACCGCGACCGAGTTAGTATGGCACGGCTACCTGAGAACAATCGTATGCGTACAAGTTTCTGTTGTCTCGGTTAGTCATGTAGTCCCATAAAGGAACAGGACGTTGACTATGGCGAAGAATGATGGAAACGAAAATAGATTCAATACTTATGGATAGATGTGTGTGATGAAAAACGTACGGAAAAATAGGTACTCCCTTGATCTATGATCATAGCAAAATAGAAATAATTTATTGGAAATATTCTATAATGCACTAATACATTTTATTATAATTTTTTAACGCTTAATAAAAAGCTTAATTATATCATAGCATAGTAGTACATCTATTTCATAATTCATGTAATGATATAATAATAATTTACAAATTTATAAACCTATTGTTTGTGACTGATTAGAAGTATGCTGTCTACAGTAATAAAGCATTTTTACTCTTTCCATTTTTTGGTCTTAACCTACCTACATTTGATATCAACAATGACCTGTGAAATTGATAAGTTTATTTTAACGTAATATGTATATTCACTTATAAAGTAATAGTTATAACAGATAGCTAAATTATCAGATGATTTACACTCACTTTTCCTGGAGATTGATTTTTAAGAATAAATTCCAGTGCATCGTTTACTTCAGGTAACTTAACAGTTAAAACACAAGTTGGTTTAATCAGACCCTCTTCAATAAATTCTAAAACTTCTTCTCCAGCTTGTCTAATTAAACAAACATTGGAATTAAAATAATAGCACTACTAAAATTTAAATCCAAGTATTAAACTGTCCTACAAATTTTGTTAACCTTTTTCATTATTAGATCATAGACCTTCTGCTAGGTAAAGTTATAATTTAAAATATTGTCATAATCATTTTTCTGAAGAATTTGTTAAGATACAAAATTTATGGGGCACTTTAATTTAAAGCTATTATACCGATAAACTTCAGGCTTCTTCTTCCTATACTCTGTCAAATTGAATCCACTAACAGTAAAGCTTTCCTTTGGTGCATCTGAATCACTATCTTTCACAGTTGCTGTTGTTCCAGCAATTACTACCCTCCCTTTATAACAGAGATTGAATAAATTATTCTACTTGAATCACCATCATTTGTAAAGTACTTATCTACCTTCACGAGAGAGGTGATGAACCATCACACCAAAACTATCATCGCGCAATAATTCTTTCACCTCACCATTTTTGTAGATATCAGTAAAACTAAAAATACAATATAACAGTCACTATCATTATTTGTTGCCTGACTAGAATCTCAGAAAATAGTAAATTGTCATTAAAGGCACCTATCATTTAATTCATATCATTAAAGAGACTCACCAAGTTAACATCTTTTTAAAATAATCACCATCAGTACCTTCAAATATAGCTTTAATATCTTTCTCTGCAGCTACCTCCTCAATTTGTCTTAATAATTTACCAGCTTTAAATTTGAAAGATGCTAATACACCTTTTTCACGAGCAAGAGCTGCTCCATCTTCAGAAGCACAAACACTTATTACCTGAATTAACAATTGCCATGAAAAATATCTAATTTATAATGAAGAATACCAATGTATTGAAATTTATATTTTGGAAAACTAATTTTTGGCATCTAACCTGAGCTCTGAATACATTTGTAGCAAGATCAACTGCTGCTAAACCAACACCACTTATACCAACATTAATGAAAATCATATCTTCTTCTTGAATGCTAACTTTTCTTTCTAATGCAACTAAAGCAGTGACATAATCATTAATTATACCCACTGCATCCACGGATTTTACTCCAGATGGTACACTCCAGATATCCTACAAGTTTGTCTTACAATTGGATGCAAACACAAACTTAATTTATTGAAAGAAACCTGCTTACAGAAACTTCTGCTATACATTGTTCAGCTAAACCTCCATACCGCTCTTTGTTAAGAGCAACAACCTTATCCCCAACCTTATACCCTTGTTTTTCTGCTTCTTCCCCAACTTGAACTAATTTTCCAACAAATTCATAACCAAGTACCATAGGTAAAGTTGGTTCAAATTTGTATAAATTTTTTGACAACAATGCATCTGATGCATTTAGAGCACAATATTGAACATCCACAAGAACCTGCCAATGCAAAAAATGTTACAAGCATTTGCCTTTTTGCAATCATAATTCTAAAGCCCTTTCTTTCATTTTCAAAAGAATTTAGTGACGAATTATTTAATTATTGTAAGAAAATATATGGAATAATTTTTTTATTACTGGAATACTCTCTACGGAAAATAACTTTCAACACAAAATGTATAAAATAATGTCAGTATGTGATATTGCTATTATTTTCTAAAACAATGGCATATTAAAATCACCTGTAAAAATCTTATACTTATTTTATATTTTTGTGTTTAAAACTATATTTCTAAGAAACTATGATCCTAATAGAAAAACTTATTGCCACTTATACAAGCACTATCGAGGTTATGTACGTTATATTACAAAATATATAAAATGTTCCTGAAATTAAAATATCATCTCCAACATAATCAATTTCAAAAAATCTGTCAATGTTCTTCTTTCAATACAATAGTTCAATTATTACAAAAAGAAACACAAAAGATATTAGTAAATATAAAAGTATATTAGGGTAGAACTCAAAACTACATTTTATTAAATCGTTAATCTTTAAATATCCAACATACTTCATTTGCTTGCAATATTTTGGGAAGTTCAAGGTTTTCCAAAATGAGGGGATCAGAGAATTTCTTCAATACTGCGGCAGAAATTTTGCCTGGTTCAGAAGCCGGCATGCCATTTATCGCATTGTCTTCTGGTTTCGGTGATTTTTCTTTCGCAACAGAATAAAACCTAACGATTCTCGTACGCGTCGGCAAGCTTTTCAAATGATTACTACAAAGATGCACGAAAATTCTTCTACCTACTGAGGCTGACATTTTTCCCTTTTAATTTAAAATTATTACACAAAACGCAAGAATAACACCCACTCAACTTTCACAGAATCCATTTGTCGTACGCGTCTGCGCATGCGCCACGCTAGTTCAGTGTCGAATTTCAAAACTTAAATATCGATGAGGCAGAAATCGAAATAAGACTCTTCTGTATCGATATTTTAAAGGAGGATGTTTAAAAAGTGCCAAATTTGCAGCAGTTCAGACACCTAAAATTTTAACGAGGCACCATTCTATAAGTCCTAAGGCATCATAAACGCACAATTATTTATCTCAAATGTGATGGGAAAGTTATAAAAAATGTAGATGAAGTTGACGGTACTTCGAAATTCGAATTGAAACTTTCTGACTTCAAATGATCATAACTTCGAAATGAATGCATGAAATGAATCGTTTCGCCATTATTGGAATGTGTGTATAAATTGTGTGTGACTTGTGTTAAATTGTTCGACTCTTCTATTGATTATTTCGACCGAAAATCAGCGTTCAACTGGTAAAATATCTTCCATTAAATTCTATTCGAAGTAAGTTATCGAAAAATTTTAAATTTATAGCTACAACGCGGTTTATATACGATAATAGGAAAAAATATACAGAAAGATCTAGATATATTAAATATGAAGGGATAACGTAGCTTACCTATCGCCAAGTGTACGAGATATTCAGGTTTCGACGAAACTTCCAAGGCTGTTAAAGGAGATGTAGACTGTTTCAGTGAAAACGTCGTAGAATCCATAGTCAAAAATCTACTATGAAATAGAAGAGAACGCAAATGAATTGAAAGAAATGATGTCTAGTATAAATAGAATAATTTCGAAATAACATAATAATAATCGAAAAAATTTCTCTCTGTAGTTCTCTATTCTTTACACATCGCTAAAAAAATTTTCAACTTTTATATCAATATAACAACGAACTAAACTAGAACGAAAAATTAATTTGTCTACACACAAAAGTCTACATATAGATTTCAATTTTCGACGAAGTTTTCAAACGAACAAAATTTAAATTCTACAATAAAAAAAAAAAAACCACCAAAAGCGAAAATAGACAGTTTCGCAATATGACGCAACCTCGATGCTCTTCGTTATCGAAATGTTCGTAAAATTCCAACGAAGGAAGAAAATTAATTTAGAAAAAAAATTCCGTTATTTTTTTAAACAGTAGCTAACTTATAATACTTATTCGCTATATACCTGTTACACGAGATAACACTTCGAGAAACACACTTATATCACTCGTATCGTTCACCGTGATTAAAGATACATTTAATTGAAAACAAAGAGAAAGTTCAAAAACAAACGATAAACTCAAGCAGGAAGCAGAAGTAAGAGAGAGAGTAGTCGCGAAACTGTTTCCCCGATGATGTTCAAAAGGGGAGTGATTTGGTCGATTTTTGTTTCTTCTGACAAAGTTCGACCTCCCCACCAGGCTGCTAGATTTTATTTTCTTTTTTTTTTTTTGTTCCAGCATCCCCACTGGCTCAACCAGGCCATTTATTGTTACTCATTCTCTGGAGAATTATTTTTTAACCTCCACAAAACATAATTTTTTTCATCTACCAGAAACCCTAGTTATATGCATGGAAAATTTCTTTCTTTTTTTCTGATTGACTAAAAATTCATTTTTATTTCATTGCATATAGTGAAGAATTCTGATACACTGTTATGTGTAAGCTTCTATGAAAGTGTAATGCTGCTTAAGATAGCATATAAGGTAACATTTATTACTTGTCTTTGTCTTTGACTTGTCTTTGTACACAATAGGGATAGAATGATAAAGTACAAGGCATTTAAACTTGATTTATTTAGTTTATGCGCCTTTGCAACTGATTCTTCTCGTTTTTTTTTTTTTTTTATGATTGTTACATGAGTATATCTTATAACAAAGGGTTTGTAATAATTCAGTGTGTATAAAGAACTATGAGAATTAAGTACAACGTTTATGCACTTAACGTAAAAATGACTGTAGAAGTTTCGCCTTACACTGTAGTGTTTTTTTTCTTTTCTTTTATTTTTGTTGCTAAGAAAAACAAAATCAGAAGCGTGATATTTCTCTACTAATCATACAGTGAATAGTCACGTTGAAATTTTCGCGAGAAACACAAAAGAAAAAAAAACAAGAATAATGGCCATCGAGGTTGTTATATTAATAGAGAAACCGATGACGTTTTAAATTTTATTAAATTAATTCGTTGACAAATATTAATTCATGCATTAAACAGTATGGCCAGCCGTACCCATTGCTATCACAAAAATGTTAGTTTCACTTAAAAACAAATATACTCGTAGACACTAAATTTCATGACCAGATTAAAGTTAAGAAATAATAAGTCGGTGACGAGTATGACTAGTATACGATTATAAAAGTAACGATCTTACTTAAACGCATCAGGTTAGTTCGAATAAGGACTAAATTAAAGTTAGAGTACGCTCAATAGTTGCTTCTACCTCACTTAGGTTTCGCGTTGTGAGACTTGGACGAGTAACGAAAGCAACGAAATAAGCGGAATACATTGAACAGAATACATTACGCTGGATATTTCTAGTCCCGGTAGAAACATGAAAAATTCCATGAAAACGTTCATAATGCTTAATCGGTAAATGCGCCTTGCAATTATGAATGTTGAATCCACAACAACAATTTATATCTGGAATTTAACATATCTAGAACGAACGTTTCTTTTCACCTCGTAGAAACTAGAGTTTAGTATAAAAAATGTTTCTTAAATTAAAGGCATACGCAATGCAAGAATTACAAAGCATCATTTAAATACAATGTCTCGTGAAAATATTCAATAATAAATTCAGCTTCGAAGAAAAAAATAAATACCGTTCTGTGCAGTGGGTGAACAGCATAGTAAATGAAGCAATTAATCATGAACATGAAATGAGTGAAATGAACGATAAATATGAAACAGAAATCTTTTTGAAAAGAAATGAATGCTTGAAATTTGCGTTTGCCATTTATACAATCATTATCTTCACAATTTAATGATATCACTTGATCAGAACCTCGGTACCAATCACTGTTTTCAATTAAAAAATCTACCTACATTACATACAATAAACAATATACGAACACTTTTGTCTCCCTTTTCAAAAGAGTCGTTCAAGTGAAAATGCTAGGTCTAAGCATTTCTCGTTGGTAGCATAGCTGGAGTATAGAACACATACGTCGACATAATTCGTCTATAAATTTGCTTGGTTTTTTTTTTCTTTCTTTCTTTAAACATATCAAACAGTATACTGTGCATTCACGTTCATAATACTGTGAATGGGTTCCATCTTAAACCTACGCAGAATATTAGGATATTACTGCACTGGTACTATGCACTCCTTGTTGTTAAGTTTTAATACAAAAGTTGGATTACAAACGTTAGAAAAAACTATTGTTGCTCCATATTTTCCATTGTCGCTTAGAAACTGAAATCTTAATAGTAAACTCTATGCTCTGGAATGCTGCTTTAATAATACTTCTAACTTGACATCGATATATATCAAAAGTCGTCTCATTCGGATATTATTCGTACAATCGGCGAAAACTTCTTTTTCGTTATTGTGCAAAATTCAGTTCGATGGTTAACAGAAATCAGAGGAAGATACAATGTGATTTTAAATACGTTGAAACAATATAAATGTTAAAAATCATTTTCATAAATTACTTCTATGTATTATACCAATTTTACAATAATTATTGATGTCAATAAACTCGCAAACTTGCAGGCCCGTAAATTAATATGTACCCTTCTTTTTTTTTTCTTTTATGAAATTCTTGTTAAGTTAACGATAGCTACACTCTTTGAAATGTCTTTGCTATAAGAGTCATCAGAAAATCGTATTTACCGAATACTTTCATCATTATTATATAAAAACTACTCGAGTAATAACAAAGAGAATTATATGTATATGTAAAAACGTTACGATGTAACTATTGAAATTGCACATATATTTTTTTGTTTGTTATAATATTGAAATGAGAGTTGGTTTGAATTTCATAAAAAAACTTTAAGTCGATTTTTGAAATATTCGAACTATTATTTGGTGACTTATAAATATGCTGCAAGCCTTATAAACTGCACCATTTTGTTTCACTATAAAATCAGCGAAGAATTGACCAAATACAAGGAAACCACAAAAAAAGCCAACTTCGTTCGATTCAATTAATTTTAAACGCGATTTAAATTAAAGACTAGTTAAACTTAAATTCTGTCTAAAGTTTCGATTGCTTCACCATTTGCGGCTAATTTACACTTTTTTTGTGGTTGATTGTATATGGTTTGCAGAGGTACATGAAGCAATTCCACGATTTCTATAAAATTAGGCTCTGTAACAAATAAAATAGATATTTTTGATACATTTATGCCTTGATTGAGCTGACTTCATGAAATCCCCATGTACTTACCATTTTCTGCTGTAATATATCCATGTCTAATTAAAAAGTCAAGAGCAACTGGTACTGACGTCGTTTTAAAATGTGAAGATAGTATCCTTTCTAAACATTCATTAACTGGAAGCAATTCAAAAGTCTCTACTTCTCCATCATTATTGCTTGGTATGAAATCTGGAGGTAATTCAAGGTCAAACACAAACTCTGTGTTGGGAAACAAACCCCTTTCATTTTCGAAAAATAGGGATATACAACCAGTACTCTTTAGTTTTGCAATTAAATTATTGGGAATACTGGCCTCTTCACCAGCTTCTTTTATAGCAGTTTCATTAATACCATAACCAACACTCAATCCACCGCTCACCATATTATCCCAATATCCAGGCCAAGTCTGCTTATTTGGGCTACGTTTCTGTAACCATATTGATAAACCTTTCACAGGATCCATAACATATCCATTAATATCTACTCCATATTTGCGAATTCCAAATAAGCCTAAAAATTCAAAAATATTTAATAGTACCTTTTGAATAAGGGAAAATAGAAAATGAAACTTATGCTTAGTATACATACATGTAGCAGACCGGTCCATTTTAAATAATGGTGGGGTATTGAATTGTGCACGTACTTCATAACATTCTTCTCTCCATCCTCTTAACGTTATAAACTTTCCACCTTCACGCCATTCTCTTAGAACTTCCTCAACCCGAGCACTTCTCTCTGCATAGTCTCTGAATGCAGGATTTAGTTGCACATATTCAGGATGTATTTGAAATACCTTCAAAGAATATGGAATAAAGTAGAAATATAAATGAATCTCCTTTATACTTTCTATTACTTCTGGAATGCCTAATCTGGTATTACCTGAGGAAAATTTAATAATTCTTTCATTACATCTGGACGTACAAGACCAACTTGTTGTCCATCGACAACAAAGGCTCTGCATTCACCTGCATGAAAACCTAAGGAATTTTATGAATTTAAGAATATTACTTCTGTTGTCTAACTTCTAACACAAAAACATACAATTTTACACACATCACACTTTTGAGATCTATCAAAACATTGCAAAATATAAAACAGAAATAATATGAAACACAAAAACATTGGATTGGAAGGAAAAAAGATTAAGCATAAATTAAACAGTTTTATTAATACAAAAATATAATATACAATGACACTGATGTAAAATATAGGTACTATATTCATTTAAGCCTCAAAATGGAGCACATACATAGATTCTTAAAATTATTCATCAAGAGTACATTTTATTTTTACATCTGTTTTGAAATTATATAAAAAACAAATTATCATATAGATTATGTCATACAACTACATGGCACATATCCTTGACATCTACTTTGGTAAATACACATATAGCAACAATTTACTCAAAATATTTATTATTAGAAAAATGAACAGGATCGTGTACGTAGTGGTAAAAAAAATCAGCGGGTGTAGTTTTGAGAAAGTCACTCATGTTTCCGTGAAAAACAACCGAAGTTCTGATTAATTCGATGAAAATACTCGAAAGAATACACAACAGACTCCAAATCAATATCTCAGTAGACAGGACGGTAAGCCACGCGTTTCTATGCGCTAATCAACGCGAAATTGTGTGGTAGAGAAGCAAGGAGAAGCGATGCGCTCTTAAATCGAACGATTTCACTTACCTGACAAGTAGAAGCAGTTAAATTTATTGGCGAGCTTCAATAAGCGTGACATTGGTTTCTTATCACTATCCGTCATGATGTTTCGCTGTCGTTAGCCAGCTGTGACAAAAAATGCTGGCATAGAACACAAGTTATGTTAGATGCAAGCTTCGCGGGGTTTCTGCGAGTCGGAGAATGTAATATACGTAATGTTATAGTGCTCGTATTGCAACGCAATTGGTTTGCTACTTGTCTCACCTTCTTCTATTTTTTCAAAGATACGAAGATAAGATATTCGATTTTGTAATTTGTACAGCTGACAAGATGCATTATTTCTTAATTCTGTTCAAAAATATATACGATTAAGGAAAATAGTTTATTAAAGGTTCGTGATTGTTAATGACTTTTATTGAACATAATCCACAGTGTAGTTACTGAATGGCAAATATTAAAAATCTAATACAGTAAAGAATTATAATAAAATCATTTCTTATAAACTGTACGATAAAATGCATTTTATTAAACCGATTTTGGTAACGCAGAAAAGCAGTTATGGCATTTTATTTTTTATGTACAAAAACAAGTATTTAAAGACAAAAGGGCAGTGTGTAGTTTTCAATATTACGATTTAAGCGTATTTGAAAATTGTTTGAGAGACTACTTGTTTATCACTTAAGCTACCATACTTGAAACCAGTTTGTTTTATGCTTCCCAGCAGATGGTGTTAAAGGTACTTGGAATTTGCTGTTTATTAAAAGAATCGTGTGTTCGTGCGTTTTGTAAATTTAATGTAAAAAATGAAAGTGAAGAAGACGACGAAATATGTTGCGGGAGGGGCAGGATCATCCGATTCCGATTCGGAGTATAATTCATCAGACGAAGAAGTAAATATTGCTTATCTTTTAAAATATGTGCACATAACCTCCTTTTAACCTTTTCTTTTTCACGTGTACAGTTGCAAGAAGCTTATGCGAAAGGTTTATTAAAGCCTGGTCTCAATGTAGTATTAGAGGAAAACAAAAAAGTTTATAAAAACTACGTTGTAAGTATGATAATTTAACAATTAACTTTGTAAGTATGAGGTTGTTTACTTCCCAAGGAAATAGTAGAAGAACCATAATTGGAATATCTTTTTAGTCACTTATGAAAGAAAAGCTGGATGCAATTAAATTAAACTTGCCATGGGTCGAGAGGCTAGACATGGTCACTGCACCGGCACCTTTAGCACCAGAATTGGCATTGCAAATGCAGGAACAAGAAGTAAGGCGGGCAAATCAGTTGAAAGGAAACTTGAAGTTACCTCAGTATAATCCAGCAGATGATCCTGTTCTGAATGATTTTCGCAGAGAGACAATGTTTCATAGACAAGCACAGGGTGCTGTTATGGATGGTATTGCCCGATTGAAAAAGCTCAAGCTGCCAACAATCAGGCCAGATGACTACTTTGCTGAAATGGCAAAATCAGACATTCATATGCAGAAGGTCAGAAAATGTCTGATGAGGAAAAAGACTGTAACACAGTTAGCGGAAAAAATGAGGCAACAAAGACAGCAGAAGAAAGTAGCAAAACAGATGCAGATAGAAGCAACTCTGAGGAAGCACGAGGAAAAGAGGAAATTACTAGACGAAGTTAAAAAGTATCGCAAGGGTGCGAGAAAAGATCTTGATTTCCTGGAAGATAAGAAACCACAGGGTAAAGGAAAACATTTAAAGGTAAGCGCAAAGCGTAAGATGCGGGATTCTAAATATGGTTTTGGAGGCAAGAAACGTGGCAGCAAGAAGAACACGAGTTCGAGCGCTGCAGATGTGTCAGAATACAAGAAGCCCATGAAGTTAGGAAAGGATTCCAAGAAAAAGGGAGGAAATCCGAAGCAGAGATTAGGGAAAGGTCGTAGGACACGGATGAAAGCGAAGAGGAGGTGATAATCCAACTTAACGCATTTTATGCAATTAAATGACCTGAGCGCACATGCATTTGTAAAATAAACCGTTTGTCTAATAAATGAATTAATATTTTCCGTTATTATCTCTTACCTTTTCTTTTCTGTTTTTTTATCAAAATATTCTGGGGGTATTCGTTTGGCAGACAGCAATGAACAATTGCAAACTGGGCTCGACAAAAGAATTTTGTCGCATACCTAACTACGTTCAAACGCATTCAGCGTGAAAGCATTCAAACGTATGCAAAGAAGGGATTACGTAAAGACGTGTAAAGCGAGGAAATCTTTTTCCCTTTCAGAGATCTTTTTCAAGTTAGGTAGCACTGTTTCGTGTTCAATAAGACGCGAACAGCCCCGAAGCGTCATCGATACGACGCCCCAAAGCTTACTATTGCGTTCTGTAGTGTGTAGTACACCTCTGTGTACGCTGGAAAAATATACGGTGGCCTAACAGAAACGCTGTCGACTATTGTGCCCCTTATCACTCATACCTCTCGAGAGCTCTTAGAAAAGAATTCTTTTCCACTGTCGCTGATAGTACTCGCGATGTCTTACGTGTGTACACGCCACGCAGAAATTTTCCTCCTTGCTACTGTGATTTCTTTGCTTCTCCTTGTCATTCTCAATTTTTTTGTATCATTTGAAAAAGTGAATTTTAGGTATTTCTAAAAATAAATCTATATCAAATACTAACCGAATTATCTCTGTCAAGATAAAAAAAAAAAACTTTTCATTGAAAATCAATGATTTCGAAAAGAAAAAAAAAGAAAAATCTTGATACCTCGCTGACTTCCAAGTCCACTTCCTGTTAATTCGCGTTATCTCCCTTAATTCTCGCGATCTCGAGGATTTTATGAACAGTCCTATCGATTCGAATTTTTTCAACTTTCGAAGAACTGCCATTAGAGAAAATGGCTTTACTTTTATCCCGTACAAAAAGTAAAATAAAATTCAAGCGTAAACCAGACAAAAGAGGCGAATGATATATAAAAGAAGGACAGGTTGCATGATGGATCGCTTAATCTACAAAGTAACTCTCTAATATTTGTTGCTTGGACGTTCAATACGTTAATGCTCCATTAAATTATGAAAAAAAAATCCTGGAGGATAACGAACGATAACGGCAGGAGCATGTGGATCGGGGTAATCTCCCCGTGGCATCGATACTGGCGGAATACTTAACATGTGTCGTCCATTAGACAATCCGCTGTATCCACAGCGGCCGTTACATGCATAGGAATGCGATTACACCGCATATTACATGCGCGGCCACGTTTGCACTCGCAGGTACGTATGTACACAGCCCCCTTTCCTTCACCGATCACTGGCTTCATTCTCCGGGGTGTACAGTTAATGATGACTCGACCCTGTCTTCCGTTCTCGTGCGCAAGCCTAATCGTCAGGCTCTTCAACGTGATTATAAATCGTAGATTAATAGACTGCCAATGTTTATTGCAATTATAATACAATTTAGGTATTCGTTACAAGTGAGACACCCTGTATAAAATCACTTTTATCAGGGACAGAATTTATATTCTTTTTCAAGTTAATCACACTAGTACGGAAAAATGTGTAAAATAATAAAATATAAAATTTCTTTACATTCTACCATTAGAGCTACCATTTTCTACTTTTTCCATTTTTATATATTTACTATTCGAAGAAACTTTGTTTCATAATATTATCAATTTTCCTAACACAGGGTTCTTTATCGATTTTTAAATTCGTTCGTTTGGTAATATGTTAATAAGTGGAGGTTTTTTTAATCACACTTCTTGGGAAAATGGTAAATTCTCTAATAGTAGGTGTCTTAAATATGAAGCTATAGTATCCAATAGTAACTCGTGAGTAAATCAGTGTCGAATAGGAAATATAACGTAAAATATCTTAATTGGTACAATTTCGACAATTCTACCCTACCTCTTATTTAAATATTTTCTAAACTGGAGCTGTAAGCATATAAATACATATGCACTTATATACATCACACGTTTTCCCAGTTAGAAACACTTCGGAAATTTTCCATAATATTTTTCTTCGAATAAAACCACGATTGCTTAACCCCTTAACATATGATTTCTTTTCTGACTGTGCATCTAAGCGTCAGCCATTTTCTGTTTTAGTACTGTACCAGGTAAGAAAAACTAATCTGTCACAAATAAATTACGTTTAGCGATCCTCAGTCTTACAAATTCAAACGAAAATCAGTATTACAGTTACTTTTTCTTACTAATATAACTATTTTTCTCACATCTTCGCCAGAATCTCTGCCACGAGTCTGAGACGTTGTCATATGTTAAGGGGTTAAAGTATCGAGAAAAGGTATGAAATTATCCCAAAATCGAACGATCCATTGGTGGAACACGTTATATATATATATACTTATGTGTGTATACACGCGACCATCGATGCGATGGATCCTCGAGGAGGGCCAGGATGGTCAGCGGGATATGGGATAACACGCGCGATTGGGTCCAGAGTGTATACTTGTTATTTGGCGAGTGGAAGTATCGTGGATCGGGCCGCATGCATAAGGCCAGAGCCATTCGTGTGCAGCCGCGCGCATGTGGCCGCGTATATTTTTTTACAATAGCCCCGGGTTATTGTATTTAAATCCAGAAGCACTCTCGCGCCGTGTCCTCTGCTCTCTGTCCAGCGCAGACACGAAAGCCCTGGGAATCTGCTCTCCAGGTAACAGCTGTTTTAGAGGGAACGCGTTTTCCGCATTTTTAGCTACGGCCGCGCACAGTTCTACCAATTACGCGAGTGTCTGGAAAGAGTAGACGCGAAGCTTCGATTTTTACCTTGGAGAAAGCGATCCTCAACTCTCTCTGGCTCGTTCGTCATCGAAAGAATTACGCTAATGCTCCTAACAAGTTCTCAGTTCCATGAAACATGGTTGTTAAAAGTTCACTCTCTCAGGTACAGAGGGCAAGGAACGTTTTAATATTACTGGTACAGAAAGAAAACACGTCTCTGGTATTTCATTTTTATGTCTTGTATCTTACGTTTGTTCGGAAATATATAATTACGGTTTTTTTAATAGGATGATTACTGTTTAATTCGTGAAAATTCTGAGATTTGCAAATTTGAAAGTTTCAAAGTTTGAATATATGAAAATTTGTAGGACGTTTGAGAATTTAGAAATTTGAAGGTTTGGACAGTTGTATCTTTGAAAATTTGAAATCTTGAAAATTTGGATATTTGAAAGTATGGAAGGTGCATCTTTGAAAATTTGAAAGTTTAGAAAGTTGCATCTTCGAAAATTTGGTAAGTTGAAAATGTGATATCTTACAATTTTGGAAAGTTACATCTTTGAAAATTTGAAAGTTTATAAATTTTAATATATGAAAATTTGGAAAGTTGCATCTTCGAAAATTTGAACATTTAAAATCTCGAAAATTTGAAAAGCTGCATTTTTGAAAATTGGAAAGTTGGAAAATTTCAAAATTTGGATATTTAAAATAACAGAATGAAAAATTTCGTATAAAAAAAACTTCTTATTATGTGAAAATAAATTGTCAAAGAAGTGACATTCTCGCAGAGGCCAAGCTAGTCCAACCCTTTATCGTAGCGTAACGATTTAAAAGAATAGAGATTAATGGAAACACTTGTACAGATCAATAGGTTCCTCTGTCAGGAATGGCAAAACGTCCAGTTTTTTGACGTCCAGTTAACACGATCAGGCTGGAGATATTCATAGCTGGGAACACAGGGTGTACGAATTTTGGTCGAACAAATTCGAGAGCTTTTTCCGTGTATGGGACTGTGTATGAAATATAGACAGGTATCTCGTGCAGATATTTGTATTGATGATAACCACAACGTAACATGTACACCTCCGTCGGTTGCTAATGGGTGAAATTTGTTTCATCATTGCCTTTGGGCGGCTTCGCCCGATTTCAAATCTCTCTGAATTCACGCAACCTTTCCCCACTCTCTTTCTTCAGCTTCTCCATTCCGCTTGTGTTCGTGTTCATGGAAACCTGACGGGACAACGATAAAATATCCGTCTCAATTATTCAGACTGAATGCTGGGTACAGAAGACCTTTGCCTCGTGGAATATGTATATCGCTAGAAACACGGATGGTAATAATCGATAGCGCCTCTGATAAATTGGCACGACCCTTTTTGGCACCGTGTTGTTAAGTAATTAAAACGTGGCGAATGGTTATATTGCTGATATCGTTCGATCAGCTGTGTTTTTCGATGTAGATTAGAAGTTTGGAAAAAATGAAATTGTGGACGGACGATTCTTGCATACTGAGATGATTGAAAGATTAATAGAGGCTTCTTGGGAACTTAAATTTTTAGAATTTGCGAAGCATTCGTATTTGGAAAGTTTGCAGTTTTTAAATGTACAGATTTTAAGTTTTCCAAATATTCAAATTCTCTGATATTTAAACTTTTCTTTATATTTTCAAACTTTTCACCTTCGAATCTTCTAATTTTTATACTTCCGATCTTCAAATTTTCAGATTCTCAAATTTTCCAAATATTTAAATTCTCTGATATGAAAATTAGAGGATTTGAAGATCAAAAGTTTGACAATATAAAAATAAGTTTAAATATTTCCGATTTTCTAATTTTCAGATTCTCAAATTTTCAAATTTTCCAAATATTCAAATTCTCTGATATTTAAACTTTTCTTTATATTTTCAAATTATTCACCTTCGAATCCTCTAATTTTTATATGAATTTGAATATTTGGAAAATTTGAAAATTTGAGAATCTGAAAATTAGAAAATCGGAAATATTTAAACTTATTTTTATATTGTCAAACTTTTGATCTTCAAATCCTCTAATTTTCATATTTCCGATTTTCAATTTTTCACATTCTCAAATCTTCGGAACATCGTAATTCTTAAATCTTTGACTTTTCCAATTTTCAAATCACGAAATCTTCCATTTTTCACATTTCCGAATCCCCGAGTTTTCAAATTTTCTAATCAATGCAATTTCAAATCGTCAAATTTTCAACATTCCGAAATCTATTACCAAATTTCTAAAACCGTACTATAT